CAGCGGGGGAGCGGAGTGCGACCACCCCATCAGCACACGCGTGCTCCGGCCTTTACTCGTGGTTGTGCGCTCACTCGCGCCTCTTCGTGCGTTGCGAGGGTGTGCCTGACCAGTTGGGATGGCGTCTTGGTTACGTCGTGCAGTTGGAGTGTTTTGGTTTTTATTTTTTTTTTTTTTTACTCCAGGAGGGGCCGAGGTTGTGGCCGTTTGTAGCCGTAGCTTGCGGTGCTCCTGTTGGGTTTGAGGGTCGGACAAGCCTTGCGTGGGAGCTGCTTCCAGAGCTCGCTTCCCAACGGCGGCGGGTTTTTTAACCGTGTGTATCTACACCTAGATCCCTGAGCAAGTTCAGAAGAGCAAAGCATGGAGATGTACGCTTCAGTTTCCCACGCGCGCAGAGTTAGGGCTTTTCGTAGTAAATCTCTGCCAGGCTTCAATCTTGGCGATTCAGAACAGACCCCAGGTCCTACTTCTGATAGAGTTAATCTAGTTTAAATTACTTTGCGGTACCTCTGCTTTATCTCGTGCTGTTGACAGATCCTCTGATGCGTGAAAGAATAAGTCACGGCTGGTTGTTGAAGCCTTGTTCTTCTTTCTGCAATTGCTGAAAGCAAAATGTTGTTGTTATCTGCCAATAAAATAGGATCATGCCAGATAATATTATGTAAAGGAGACTCAAACATGCTTTTGAATTGTCCTTTTTATAAGTCTGATCTGTTTTAGGGTTTTTTTTATGGCTGACTGTGGAAGTTGGTCCCATACAGTGAGTAGAATTCAGGTTTGGACTTTTGGTAGCTGTTAGACTTTGTATGTATAAAAAGTCACAAGTAGGGGTTAATTTCTTGTTTAAAAACTAGATATCAATGTTCTAGCACGGACAAGGCTTAGGGGTGAAAACTTGACAAATTGTTTTACGTGTAGGAACCAGGATGTGGTGATGCACCTACTTCTTTACGTGCAGTGGTTTAAATTTTTTTTATATTTGGAAATCAGGATATGGAGACATACTGATATCATGAAAAGGATGCCTTTAGTAGTATTTTCTGAATGTATTGAACAAATTTGCCACTTCTAAATTTCCCATTTGTAGTAAGGATTGTTGGAAAAAAACCCCAAAACACCAAAAAAACCCAAAACATAACTTATCCTGCATGGGGCATGACATAACACTGTGTTCACCTTGGTGGCGGTAAAAGTCATACTGATATAGATAATGAGCAAGTAAGTATTTCTCTTCCACATTTGTGATGTAAACACATAATCTTGCTGCTTTCCATGATCACAACTAAATGCTCTCAGAGACTCTAAACATGCCTGGGCATCAGAGGTTTTGTTTTAAATTGGATAACACCACTGTTTTGCTGGTACGTTGTGGTTTTTTTGCTGGTTCAAAAAGAAGAAGGCAGAGTAAAGAGCTAGTCTGGTAACAGAGAGTATGCTTATGTTTGTTAAGTATTTAAATAGGCAATTGATTAGTAAGGAATATCACTAATAGCTGTCTGCATGGTTTTATGGAAAACAGATCTTGTGAAGCAGTCCTGACTCTTCATTCTCCTAATGATTTGGTTGATAAAGGTAATTCATGGGATATAGTAGTGCTTACAAAGTAAAGCACTTGGCTCAGTAGTATTTTACATTGTGATTTTAAAATACTCTTTTTAAGTCAGCTGGTATCTCGGAGTTGGTGGGGAGTTATCCCCTTGCTGGTGGGACTGGTGTCAGAAACCAGCCTCCTTCTGTCCAGCACTTGATTTGTGGCCCTGAAAGTTGTATATAACATAATTAATTTAACACTTTGGGGTGGCATAAATATTAGTGGAATGCTAGTTAATAGTGGCAGGACACTTATATGCTCTCCTCTTGGTTATGTGATAAAGTGGGTCCACTGAAATAACCAAAGGTATTTTAGCACGCCCTAAACTTGCAGCCTGTTTCATTCTAGTTACTCATCCACACCATTAAAGACTTTATTTTTTGCTATTTCACCCATTGAGCAGACTAAAGAGGGTAGTGGTAGATTCTTCATTTGTTAGATTTGCTGTCTAGTTGGCTGTTCTCTCCTGTCTTGCTGTTGCTTGATTCCAAACTTCAGTGTTCTAACTTTAATTCCTTTTTTGTTTTGAAGGAGGCATAGGGTAAGGAAACTTGAATTTGGGGGTGTTTTATTTGTGTATCAAAAGCTTGGCAGTTACTTGTACCAGAAAAGCCTCTGGTTTCTTTTGAGCTACCTGACAACTGTCTTGGTTCTTTATTTCACAAAGCGGTCTCCCCTCTGTGCAGATTTTGCTTTCATGTAAGAAATGCCCCCTTGCCTTCGGTTTAATCCATGTGGCTGTTTGCATTTAAACACTAGGCGTCACTGTTGCAGTTTGTATGTAGGTACGTACACACATATGCATGTATGCATTTATAACTTTTGAACTGGAAAATATAGTTTTTTCCCCAAACTTACAACTCCTAAACATCAAAATATTCATTAATCTAATAATAAATTTCCAAGACCTCATTTTCCCTTTTACGCAGCCTCTTAAATCACTTTAAGTCATCACTGAGATGAGCAAGCACTTGCACTGGATACTTTCTAATAAATTAATTATGGTGGTATATGCCTGCTTGAGGGATTAATTGTAACAGCAAGCAGTACATGGCCCTGAACTCAAATAACTCTTACATATGGAGCAAATTAATCTTGTGATGGATCTTTACTACAAACAGAACTCCTGATACTATTTGTTTACTTCCCCCCCCTTAGATTCTGAGTTAAACTCAGGACTTCCAGAAGACAGCTACTCTTCAGGAAGTGAAGCCCTGGATGGTGATGATGAAGATGAAACACCAGCCCTTGATGATGCGGTTGAAGATGCAACAAGCTCCAAAGCTGGCCCAAGTGCAGGCTGGGCAGATGCTATGGCAAAAGTGCTCAACAAAAAGATTCCACAAAATAAGTCCACCATCTTGGCCAAGAATAAAAAAATGGAGAGGGAGAGAGAAAAGGAAAAACAAGAAAGGCTGGAGAAGAGGATGAAGGTGAGAAAAAGATGCAGGATTTCGTTGTGCAGTCAGTCAGGTGGGAATACAGGCAAGATCCCCTCAGTGGGGATCTAGGAGAGTGCTCTGAGACTGTCTCAGTTTTAGAATCTCTCCTCCACGGTGATCTCAAGTAGCTTCAGGTTTTTTACTTTCCAGACAGTCATGCTGTAGGGCTTTTTTCCTTACTGCTTTTTCTGGGCCTTCAGACGGGCTGATCTTTGGCAGCAGGACTGTTCCAGTCTGTCAGCTTAAGGTGTTTTTGTTGTTGAGAGGGTGAAAGCAGCTGCTTTAAGCTTAGTTTTCTAATTGCTGTTGTTAATTTGGGGTATAATTCACTTTGTCAGCATTACAAGTTGAAATAGTTCTCTCTCATCAAACATGAGACCGAGAAAGAGAAGAAAACTGCTTTCATTTAAATTCTGCTGCAACTTCTGAAATCAAAGGCCTCTAAGTTGAGATTGCAGTAATCGCTGATGTGGTTGTGAATCATTGTTTGCTCCCTTCAATGATTTTCCTGGTAGGAGTTTTCTATTACAGTGTCCGTGGCCTAAATTACTTCTGGTTCTGAAACTGTTAGGAAGAAAACAAAACTGTATTGGCAATTAAGTAGTTTGTTTGTGCATCTTTAGTGGAACTTTTAATTCCAGGCTGTGATTGATTTACCTTCAGGCTAAAAATACATTAATAGTTCTAATGTCTCATCTTACCAGTTGTGTTTCAGTGGGATAACCAGGCTATCGACCTGTCAGTCTGGGACATGCTGTGGCTAGACTATGGCCTGTAAATACAGAGAGCTTCATGGCATCTGCTCGGTTATGGTTGTCCTCGATACTTGTTCTCATCCAGTAAATACATGGGAGTACTGCAAAGCAGAGGCGGGCTGCAGGTCCCCAAACTGACTTGTTTACCCTTAGGAAAAACTTGAGAACAGTCTGCGTTCTATTAATTTCTTGCTGATGGAAGTTAGAATAGGGCAGTTCTCTTGATCAAAGGCCAAAGTGTGGTCATAAACTCACAAATTTGTAGTAGTCTGCCTGGAATTATAAAGATAAGGACTTTCAAATTCCATGAAAGACTTTTTGCATAAAACAGACTTAATGCAACATCACCAGGCCTAGAACAGTGTTAAATTGTCAAAAGGGAAAAAAACCTTCAGTATCTTACTCCTGAAGCAGAGACTGGGGACATACAGTGTTCTCTTATTGTAGCAGAAATAAAGCTGGTGATGGTGTGTCCCCTGGTAATGGGAAAGTGGATCAGTTTGATTTTGAAACAGAGCGCCTCAAAAAAAAAAAAAAAAAAAAGACAAATCAGTGTTGTACTCAGGAGTTGTTCTCCAGCAGGCACTTGGTCCTCTTTCTGGTGTTGGAGTTCTGCCCGCTGTAGTCTTTGCCGTGCGTCACTGTCAGTCACAAAGCTGTACTGTGATTAATTCAGCAGAGGAAGTCAAACCCCAAGACTCAAAATGCAACATGCCTGTCTTCATAGAGCCAGGGTTTTATTATATATATGTTTCTCTGTGATCAGCTTGTGAAGTCTTGGAGTTGAAAGCTGTCTCTGATTAATTTCCTTGTCCATAGCAGTCAGTGTGAAAGCATTTGAGTTTTTCTAGACTCCTTTTGCTTGTCTCGAGCCAGAGGCATCACTCTGGTGTGACTCTCTTCTAGTTTTTGTTGCAGAAGGCAAGTGACTCTTTGAGGTTTGACTGTGGCCCCTGGTGTGTCAATACAAGAGACTTGCCTCAGACCTGGTGTCCAGCCTCATATTGGAGCTCCCCTTACCCTCAAACCAAACCAAACTTTGTTGATTTATCTCTTTCTTTTCCTCCTACTACATACTCTATCAGAGTACGCTGCATTCTCAAATGCTCCACGTTGCTTCACATAACTATATTTATAACGCAGCTCGATAAAAAGCGGGAGTGGGAAATGATGTGCCGAGTGAAGCCAGATGTTGTCAAAGACCGAGACAGAGAAAGAAATCTTCAGAGAATTGCCACAAGGTAGGAGTTTTTCTGAATGCTTTCCTTAAATATACATATATTGAAAAGGGGAAGGAAAGGCCTGTGCAGGTAATCTGTTTCCAATCAGATTGAACTCTTAAGAAGTGACTAGCAGGAGCCGGGTGATTTATATACAGGTCTGCATTGTACAGTATCAAGTTCAACAAAAGATTTCAGGAGCTTTTTGAAAGAGTAAAAATTTAGATGGGAATGTAATGTTTGTTTAACAGAAGTGCTTTGTTAGATCCCCTCATTTTGTTAATTTAATGCTTTAAAAATGCAGAACAGTTGTTTCTGCTACTGTTTTTTCCTTCTCTGGAGAGGATTCACCAGATCCACGGCTGTTCAGTTCAGTTGCTGATTCTGCGTTGCGGTAGCTTGTTGTCACAAAACTAGCTGAACGCCTTGATGTGCTGCCTGTAGCTGTCTCCTTTCTCATTCCTCTGCTTTGTCCCCCAACTTCAGCTGCTCTTGAGATCTTGCCTGAGGAATTTAATAGCTGATGGCAGGACAAGTAACGTGTTTCATCCACAGAAACATGCTCTTCCACTGATCTCGGTGCCATGTTACCATGCTTATGTCGAGGTCTGAATAGTTAGTTGTGGAATTTTTGTTACTGGTTCCTAGCAATAAGTGTGAAGAGTGAAAATAGCAAGTCTCTTACATCGTAGTAAATGCTACTTAACTGAATTGATGTTCTGAGTAACCATTTTGGGAGGCTAGAAGCCATCCAGCATCTGCACTGATTAGTAGCTTTGGGAGAGGGTTCATTTCTGTAAAGGGAACTTGAGTTAAAAACTGTGTTTTGTTGTTTTGTTTTTTTTTCCCCATCCCAGAGGTGTTGTACAATTATTTAACGCTGTCAGGACGCACCAAAAGAACATTGATGAGAAGGTGAAGAAAGCTGGGAGCTCTGACAGGCAGCGTGCTAAACTGCTGTCATCTGTTTCAAAGAAAGATTTCATCAATGTCTTAAGAAACATGGAGGGTGCTAAAGGAAGCAAGAATTCTGCTGGAAAAACCACAAAAAGTAAACAGGTAGGCTTCACTTGGTAGAAAAAAAATCCATACAAGATACCTTCTCATATAACTGCTGTCTGTTAATGGGCCTGCTCTTCAGAACAGCTGTGATCCAAGTGCCTGGCGTTTTTTGAGACTACTTAGAAGGGAGCAAGTAGCTCTTAGCCTGTTTTCCCTGTCTTTTGAGTATCAGGACACAAAACACTGGAAGCTCTTCTGATCAGACATCAAGCCTTGGGTACACATAACTTGTTTTAGCTGTGTGTTTAAAAAAAGAATATGAAAAATTGGTTTTTTATCTTGGATTTTGGAGCAACCATGGAACAAACTGCTAGATTTTACTGGGTTGTGACATTCTGAATTTGGTCAATAGTAGTTACCAGCTCCTTAAAATTCTTAAAGGCACTGGTGCTCTTCATCTTACGCGGTGTATTAGACTGAACTACTTGTGTAGCTTTGGACGATTATGGTATCTGGAACTGAAGGGCTTTGCCTTACAAGTGAATACTGCAACAGAAAGAAACTGAGACATATTAATTTTCCCTAATTCTGTGTGTGTGTTAGGCTGATGTGGCTTTATTGGTGTTACGATGTTTTGGACAGAAGTATTTTAACACGTTCTACTTTTTTCCAAATGTGCTCAAGAGAGACACAGTGTAGTTGGGCTCGTCCAACTCTTTATCAGTTCTTTCAACTCACCAAGTAGCTCAGAGTTGAGAACAGGTTACTCAGACATACTCTTCCTCATATTTCAGAAGCTACACGTTTTGAAGCGTATCTGTGTTCAGGTTTGAACTTTGTGCTTGGTAGTGTATGGAATACTTCTGTTGGCCCGGACTCACAGCAGTTAACTAAGTGCTTTTCTGTGCCAGGAAGAAATACTTTAATCAGTCGGGAGACAACAGTTTGTCATATGTTTTTTGTTTGTATGCACTTGGGGAGCATGCTGAAACACTGCCTGGCATGAAGAGTTCATACAATTTTCATGCAAGTGTAATATTAAAGTATTTTTTAAATTCTTTGGATAATGAGAACAATTTAGCTTGGTGCTGACACTTTATTTCTCCTTAAATGATTCCAGCTTGCTTGTTTGGGTGGGGGGGCATGCGTGTGTGTGGTTCTTTTTTTTTTTTTCTTTTTTTTTCTCTCTCCCCCTCCCCTGAAATAGCAGAACAACATCGGAATGATAGCAGTGCCAACTACTATTGTGGGAGGCATTGAATTAATAGCTGAGCAAAAACTAGGACCTTTTTTCCTTTTTGTCACATTGTAGCAGGGAAATTTTCTAATTACTAGGTCAGAAAACATAGATTGTAAATGTTTCTATACTATAAAAAAAAAGTTATTTTGGCAGCATCCGTAACAGCATATTTCTATTAAAGAGCTCTGGAGATGCTTTAGATGTTGGCTGGCTAGTGTCGGTTTTGAGTATGGATATAGGTGCTGCTTTCACATTACTTGTGAACAAAAACTTCAGGTTTTGGAGTTTTTCATTAATATAAGGCTATACTTGTAGGTTTGGGATTTTTGATTGGGGAGAGGTGTTGAGTTTGGTTTTTTTAGTTGTGGTTTGTTGTTGGGTTTTTTAACAGCCATGTCTGCCTGGATAGACCACCCCTTTCCTCCCTCCCTTGTTGCATTTGCTTCAGTGACTCTCCATTCAGTACTGAACCAAACTTTTTTAATAACTCCTCTTCAAGCTGTTCTTAATCTGATTTTTTTTTTCTTGAACATATTTTACCCATTCAGCAGGCTCACATCCTCATAGTTGTTGATGCTTGCGGTTGACGTCAAAATCTGATCTTCAGTCTCTTCAGAATTACACAAAGGTGTAGCCAGTGAACATTACTGCTGGACTCCGCTGTTGTATCTCTGCTTTTTTGGTCTTTGAGAGTTTTTCAGAGGGTAGTAAGCAAGGATGAGGGGTTTGGGTGGTGAATTCCTTGCAGGAGGAGTTTGTTAGGTTGTTTGTGCCATCTGAAAGCTTTTGTTTGTTTGTTTTTGTGGGTTTTTTGTAGCAGCCTGCTTTGTTTTTAGCAAGTGAGAGTATGGCATGTATTTAATTTTTAAAAAAGGGGGGGAAAATGTATTTATTTATCTCAACAAAAACAACAGACGAGATGCCAATCCCAAACTCCAGGCACTCTGCCATCAATTAAAATGCAGTCCAGAACAATAAAAACGCTACCCCACCCACATAAAACAAGCAGTCAGCAAGAAAAATAGCAGAATAAAGTTTTCCCAGTGAAAGCAAACCTTTCTTGACTCGTGCTATGAAAGGAAACTTGACTATATTTGTGAGAATGGGCAAATGCTTTTTCTTACTCCACAGTGGTTTTTGACTGCAGGATTTGTTGCTGTAGTTTTGAAAGTTTAGTGGTTTCTTCCAAATGTCAGGAGTTGTTGAAGAAACTCTTTATAAAGCTCTGTTTTGGCTGACTATTTAGTCAGGTATATGTATGTGTGAAAAAAAGAAATTAAATGCTCTGTAAAAGCCCATTGTAGCAGTGGGATTTCATGGTAGCACAACCACTTTGAAAAGTTTGTTCTTGCTTTCCATCAGCTTTCTGCATTGATGGGAAGGATGGGGAACCTCTGCCCTGTGAGAACATCGTTTATAGTCTTGTATACTTTTGGCCTAAATGTTACTTGGTGTGCACCCACCCACTGTAGCTATGAAAAAAAAAAAAAAGACTGTAAGGCTGTGAAAATTTTCCTGTGCCATGTGAAACCCTAGCCCTTCTTTGGGTTTTGCGTGCCCAGATGGGAGTAATTACTTTTCTGAGCTGGAGCCAAAAGCTTTGCCTTTCATATCATTAGCTGTTTATCAAGGTATTTCTTAATCCTCGCTGAGCCAGCTGACTTGTGTAATATTTTTTCCCCTGTTTTTTTCCAAGGTACTATACATGATGCTTGCCTCTGGGTAAGATCATCTAATTTCCCTCCCCTCACCACCTTATCTAAAAGCCTTGCAATGTGGGAGAAAAATGTAATAATATTCTTTAAAAAAATAAATAAATCTTGTTCGTTGTTTGGCTGGGGTTTTTTGGGGTGGTTTTTTTTGGGAAGCACTTACTGGAAGATATGAGCGCTTTCAATCTTGTTCAATCCTTACAGACCAGATTTTCAGTATGTGTTGGTTGTATTTTGCAGCTTCCCACCTGTAAGATACTACAAGAAACATTATTAAACTACAGGTTTAAAAAAGGTACATATTAGAGATGCTGTCTTTCCAGCCCTAGAGGCTGAAGTCATCTTTATGTCTATAGAACAAACACAGAAGTAGGTAGTGGCAGTAAAGGATTCCTGCAAGGAATTTTCTTAAGGTCCTTAACAAATTTCTGCGTGCTCCTAGGATTATGGATTAGGGAAGTACCTTTGCTTCCAGGCTTGAATGAAGCTTCTGATATCTTAAAGTTGCACAGACACGTTGGCTGATGTAGTGACTTACATGAGGTCTTGAAATCTTAATTTTAAGAGAAAAAAGAAATTCAGAATTAACGTTCCTGGAGCAGCCTTGACTCTTCTTCCTTGCTGCACGTCAGCTACAACAGGGTAGGTCAGAACCAGAAGTTCTTGTTGTGACTTTTCACTTGTCGTTTGTGCTACTGCCTGTAAAGCATTACTGGGTGGTGAAACATTTTCTAGTGACATATAAATAACTGGCATGAAAATTACAAATGTTCTTTGTGACAAAGTGTAACCTGCACTCATCAACCTTTGATTTTGAATTAGGCCTTTGTAGCATGGTTTTCTGAATCACCTATATTTGCTTCAACTCGTAAGCTTTCTTACACCAGATCTGTTGCAGAGCGTTTTAATGGTGGAAGTGAGAGCAGGATTTCCTGGTCTACTTCAGTAACCATGATCCAAATTCTGTAAGGTAATTTTTTTCTGCATGACTTGGATGTACAATTTGCTTCCTGTGTTGTGATGGTATCTGGAAAAAACTGGCGTATTGGTCTCAGAATAGTACCTGTTCTAAAATAATTTATTGATGGGAAGGAAGATGAGCAGAGAAGAATACAAGTGCTATTTCATATCAGCTGTTGCTCATATGGGACTTGAAATAAAATGCTTTTCCAGAAAAGTTCCTTCTGCATGAAGCGTATTTTATAAATGCTCCTAGTGTTTGGTAAGTAAATTGTAAACACAGTGATTAGAGTCAGGTTTACTATAGATCTTCCTTGTGTTCATAAAACTTTTAATGTTCATAAATATTTTAATTTTAAGCAGTAGTTTGAAGATTGTTTGAGGGCAGGAGTATCACCACACTTCCAACTGCTGTTCTCGCTGGGACACAAGAAGTGGTGTGGGAGCTTTCATTTTTCAAGTTAGAGGGGGATATAAATGTACTTTCCAGCTTCAGACTTAGATCTGTTTAAAACCTGTGAGAGTGACTGCCGCCTCTTTCTTGCAGCTGCATAAGTACTGGCCATTGGCACGTTATTCTGGTTTTTTCCACAGCTTCCACAGTGCAGAAATGGAGAGGAAAAAAAAAAGATTATTTTCATCCATATACATGTTTGGAGGGACAGTGGTCTGAACAGTTGCCTCAACCAGCTGTAGGAAATAGTTTATTTCTGAAGTATGGCTGAAGGCATAGACGACTTCTAGAAATTTGGTAAGGTGTGTCAACACCTCTTTTAAAGGGAAACTTTTTTTCATAGGTGGTAATGGCATTGCAGAGTAGCAGAAGTTTATTACTGCAGCTGTTGTGTGCTGGTTTTACAGAACTAATTGAAGGAGTAACCAGGCGTGCTTGTAGTCCAGCAGATTTGAGGGGGCAGCCAACTATTAATTTAGTTCAGCTGCAGCCAGAGTAGATGTGTTCTCCCAGTTTTAATAAATGTCTTCCCATCACATGCACAGAAACTTTTAATTTGGATTCCTTTATAAATCATGCATTTGTGGCTGTTTTTCCCAAATGTGTATACACTTTTTTGAAGGTCACCTTCACTCATGTTTGGAGCTGGTGCTTTTAATGTAGTATTTTTGGTTTTGCACAAAAAGGCTGC